CCTTCACGAACGCAAATTCAAATAAAATTTACAAACTATTGATGAAAAAGAAGCATACCAGGTCGCTCTGCAATTAAAATACAGTCTAGCTTTCAAATCAAAATAAACTTTAGCTTTCAAATTACAGTTAATGGCTATAATAATAATAATATTAGCCCGTGTTTGAAGTTATTTATATTCACCGCGTTTTAGGTTAAAATGTTCCATAGTATGACCTCGCGGTTTGTAAAGAAGTTGTTTCTTTCTGCTCAGTTTCGAACAAGTTGCGTTTTGAGTTGTTTGGTGTGTCTGCGAGCTTGAAAACTGTGTTTTGATGATGTTGAGTTTGGTTGACGCAGAGGGACTGCAAAGTTATTTATTTCAATTTTGCTGTTAAATTTGTATTGTTTAATAAATCTGATTTTGCTGATCGTTCGGTTAGCGTTGTCAGGTTTAACCTTTATAGTCGCTGAGTGTAGTACTTTATGGAAGAGACGTCTTTCGTGGCTCGGTTTTGAACTTGCTCGAGTTTTGCTATATCATGAGTTAGATATGGCTTGAATTAAAAATTCCAAGTGTGGGCAAACTTATGAAATATAGAATGGGCGCCATCTAACGAGACTTAAGGAACGGCAAATATATCGATGGAATGTTGGACCGTTTCATGTATAAAAATATCCTGAAAGATGTTATGTTACCTCATGCTGAATGGAATATGCCAATAAAATGAGTTTTTCAGCAAGACAAAGATCCGAAACACACTGCAAAAGTAGTCAAGCAGTAGTTTCAAGACAACCACCTATCGGTGATGGATTGGCCGCCTAAATCTCCGGATCTCAACTCTATCGAGAACCTGTGGGAGATCGTCAACCGCAGAATTAATCGTGAAGGTGTTCGTAATAAGGATCAACTGCTTGAACAAATACAAAATGCCTGCGCAGCAATTCCACAAGGTTTTATTGATCACCTGATCGAATCTATCCCTCGAAGATGCAATGCTGTGATCAGCAACAAAGGATTCGCCACGAAATATTGATAGCGAATTACAGCTTGGTCAACATTTTGTGGAGTTGCACTTGTTTTGACCAGAAGGAAATCAACTTTTTTTAATACTTTTGATTAATTTTTTAATTTTCGTGCACAAATAATGAACTTTGTGATGAATAAAACTTGAAGAACGTTTTCTCTAAACAGTTACATACTTATTTCTCTAAATTGAAAAAAAAAAAAATATATATATATATATATATATATATATATACATATATATATATATATATATATATATATATATATATATATATATATATATATATATATATATATATATATATATATATATATATATATATATATATATATATATATATATATATAGGGCCGTAGAGAGCCAAGCCGGGCCCCGGGGTAAATTTTTTGGCGGGCCCCGTTTATTTTACATTAATATTCATATCCATATTGAAAACATCAAACTTAAAGTCTATGACGTGTCTTTAGTCTAAATTAAATCAAAATCAATCTTTAAGTCTAGGACTAGATGTGTTTTTAATTAGTTAGGTTGGTCAACGAATCCTTTCATTTTTTAACAAGTTGCATTAGTTAGACTGCCATAATAATAATTATTAAATATAACTTAAAAGTTTTTTGTAAAAGTTTTTTGTAAAAAGTTTTTTTTTTTATCTCAAGAAAAATATTTTTTGTTACTCCTCAAATTTTTTTCACTTTGAAATTATTACTTCGTATTGGTATATTCGTTACAGAATAAAATTAAACTTCAAGATAAAGTTAAACCAATAGAGATAAGTTATTCGACATAACTAGGAACCGTGACCCGTTTTCTGTGTCCTCTTCTGTATTTTTAATAAGTTTTAATGAGAGGTTAAAAAAAATCATTTTTGAATCTTTTTGCAATTGGACTAGTTCCACTATTTTTTAAGTGAAACTGATGTAAGTGAAACTGATGTAAGTGAAACTGATGTAAGTGAAATTGATGTAAGTGAAATTGATGTAAATGAGACTTTTTTTATGCTAGTCCACTTAAAAAATACTCATTTAAAAAAAAAAATACTAAATCGGTTTTTGTTATGAAAAAATGTTATACTATTTTAGCAATAATTAATTATTGTGAAACTAGACTGTTGTTTTTATTAAATTTTAAAACAAAACAAGGCGTTTGTATTATTTACATTAAATCCTATATACTATGTAATTAAATGAATAAAAACAACTAAATAGCGGGACTTAAAGTTTCATGCCCGAAGGCAATCATCAGCCGTGAATACAAACAAAAAAGGTCAAAAAACCGTTTTTTAAAAAACTTAAAATTAAATACCGTAGAACGGATTCAGACGTGACACGTTACCTTTTGCAAATCTTGCAAAAGGTAACGTGATTAACAGCTTTTAGCAAAATAATATTAAATATATTATATAAAAATATTATATAAAACTTAAAATTAAATACCGTAGAACGGATTCAGACGTGACACGTTACCTTTTGCAAATCTTGCAAAAGGTAAAGT